TAAATTATCTATTATATTATAAACGTCACCAACGAATTTATACGCAAACATTAAAAATAGTTACAAATACTTAGTGTCAAATATTTAAATTATTTCCATACACGTTTACTTCAACTGAAACGTATACCAAATTCCTACAAACATAAAATTCACAAAATAACTATCATTTAATTAAAATATCACTAAACCATGTACACGTCAACTTATTTTACTTAAAAAAAAAATCCCAGAATTGCACAAAAATGGCATTGCGCACACTCTTCACTATATCCATGTACACTGCTTTTTTGTCATAAATTAGAAAAATTTCACGAAAATGCATGAAAATTTTGTGAATCTTTAAATCCGGTAAAAAGAACATATATGAAATTACCTGATCACGAAAAAGTATATATCCTTTCCAAGAATGAACATTGCCAAGTATAAAATAAATAAAATATCCAAAAACTTTTACCTCTTAATTATCTATTATATTATAAACGTCAGCAACGAATTTATACGCAAACATTAAAAATAGTTACAAATACTCAGTGTCAAATATTTAAATTATTTCCATACACGTTTACTTCAACTGAAACGTATACCAAATTCTTACAAACATAAAATTCACAAAATAACTATCATTTAATTAAAATATCACTAAACCATGTACACGTCGACTTATTTTCTTCACTATATCCATGTACACTGCTTTTTTCTCATAAATTAGAAAAATTTCACGAAAATGCATGAAAATACTCAACGTATACTACTCAAACGTATTCCAAAATACTACAAACATATAACTCACAAAATCACGATCATTAAATTAAAATATAATTAAAAAACACTACTTAAAATATAAATAAGCACATACATTAAATTAATAAAAATTAGATTACAATCCTAATTACTTTAAACTAAATCATTGCTAATAACAATTTTCCAATAATACCATTTTAATTAATTTATTTACTCCTTACATTTAGAACAATGCATAAAAATAATATCCTCAAATGATTAAAAATACTAACTTACCTAATCTTCTTCAGAATCTTCATTACGTGGCACGCACACTTCCCTACAGAAAGAGTTCCAATCGGCTGCAGTACTACTGCTAATTTCTAAATCCGAAATCCAGTAGTCAACTTATTAATTATTACGTATTAAAAATTTAGAATTCACTTTACATAGCGCCATGCAATCCGAAAATTAATCAACACTATTTCACACAACACACAATGAAGCTTAATACAAAATAATTTTTCCAAATTTACCCCCTTTTCCGATTAAAGAACTGTAATTCGTCCATTAATGTCACATAACATATCTCCTGATCTCTCATTTCCCTCACACAAAATAATGCGTAATCGGAACTGAGTGCTTCTCACATTATTACCAAAGTCCTAGGTACTAACGTTTATCGCCTCCAAAATGTCACCAAACTACCTGTTACCATATTCCAAAGATCAGCCGAAAGAGGTTTTGCTGAAAATGACCATTTATAACATCAAGCATCACAGCCCTAAACAAGCATGTTTGATCCACAACGATACTGAGATTTATTTCTAAAGTACTTACTAATTATGGTACTCGTCTCAAAAAGTTGCATGAAAGTAATACAGTCAAAAGTCGTTAATCCGGACTCGTTGGGACTTCGGCGATTCCGGATTATTGATTTTTCTGGATTATAGATCATCAGTTTAAATCTGGTAAGATGGCATGCAGAAATTATAAAATTAAAAATATGAAACCGTAATTTATGAAATAAAGAACAATTATGATCTAAAAGGTATCAAAATTTACAAAAAAAAAAAAAAGCTTAATATTTATTTGTTTATTTTATTAAACATTTCTTTCAATGTAAGTTGTTTAAGTTGCTTCCTTTTACGTGATAATACTTTCTCTTTAATTCTATAAACAGACATGATTTCTTGTTGAGTTACAAAGTTCCGCTGTTCAAGTCATATAATTGCTGTGTCGAGAATACGGACTAATTTGTCAATCAAAATTTTTTCGTTTTTAATAACCTCTGTGTCACTTTCTTCACTATCGAAAGCGAATTATAATGACGAGGAATTTGATTTAAATCTATCAAAGACGGAGTACATCAAGATGAAATAAAGGAATTATAAGGCAAATAAAATAAAAACATCTACCCCTAAGATAAGGATAGTGCTGACAGATCAACTTCCAAATCATTGCGCGCCGCGGCGTTCCCCCCGCCGAGCAGCGTGAAATTGATAAACAGATTTCAGATTTAAAAACATACTTTTGCTTTAGATCCTTTACGTATTAACAAATATATATCGGAAATTCTATTTGATATAATCGAAAGTTTAAGCTTACTTTTACAAAATTGCTCTAACAGTCTGCAAAAAATAATAAGCCGGATCCAATTCGAAGATTAAGGAACAACGCAATCTGCAACATTAACTGAATTAGATAATTTTAGCTTATACTGTCTGTTATACATTAAACGCACATTCATAAATGTATTTTGCGCATGCGCACACGCATATTTGCAGCCGTTAAGGTCTTACGCGCATGCGCACAAAGTTTGTAGCTTTGATGTCCGGATTATAGACCATTCCGGATTATGGGTGTCCGAATTAACGACTTTTAACTGTGCACCATGTTGTCAAAATGTTTTTATGTGGCAAGCTATTAAGATTTGGACATTAAAAATTCAATATTCACTTTTCTCGTTAGTACTTCATTTTGTGATGAGTGCATTTGCTTTTTGTGAAAAATTGCAAGCAAAGTTTTAGCATGCAAGTCAGAAACTGGTTTGGGGATAGTCATACCTTACTTACAACAAATATTTACTTATTTATTGTTAAATAAAGGAATATAAGTAAAAAAAAAAAAAAAAAAAACTTTGAAAAACTGGTATTATCCCTACATACAAATATCAGTTGGTATAATTACCTCCAAGAAAAGTGTGTGTCTTCTACGGAAAAAAGAAAATGTAAAAATAAGTGGTACTGGATGCATGACAAGAGATAAAAATAAATACCTCAAAAGTCACCAACGAAAGTCACTAAAAAATTCTTGACTTTTTGGTGGAAATGCAAAAAATTAGAAAGTACCTTTTCAGAAGACATAACAAGGGATCCACTGAACTACAAAAAATATTACACGGACCATAATTTGACCAACATTAAACTCTAAAAGTTCTACATTCTCATTAGGGAAGAAGGTTCACACGAGTTCATTCTGATTCTCCTATATTCTGACTCAGTTATCTGCTTGCCACAACAAAAGATGAGATTCATCGGACCAGACATTTTGCCAGCCATCACTAGTCCAGTTTCGGAGCTCTTGGGCACACAACAATTGCAATTTCCTGATATCAACGATAATATAGGCATCCCTGACAGCCTCTTATCATCAAGTTTGACAGTTTTCTGTAATATACTTTTAACTGTTTTGAGCTGTAGTTTGTCATGTTGACCTTTTGTTGTTGCACATGGTTATCTTTAACTTTTTTCATTTATCAGCATTTTGTGGCCAGAATTTCTTTTCCTGCATGAAGGGTTTTTTTTCCCCTTAGCTGAATTTTTCTACATGCCTAACAAAAGCCTAGAACATTAGCTGTTTCAAAGATATCAAAATCGAGTCTTCCTTGCTCCCATGATCATGCCTCATTCAAAGTTGGGGTAAGTGCAGAAGTGCCCACTGCTTCGCACGTTTCTCAAAATTGCCAAGTTGAAAATAACAAGTCAAAGAATTGCACAAATCTGGTATTCATGTACACATCAACCTACTTTCACTTCAAAAAAAAAAATCAGAGAATTGCACACTCCCTTGACTTTGTACATGTATACATCGATACATGCGATAGAAGTGGGTGATTCTGCATCAACTTCAAAATAACAAGTCAAAGAATTGCACAAACTCGGTGTACACATTGACCTATTTTCATTAAAAAAAATAAAATAAATAAAAAATAATAAAAAAAAAAAGGAAATTGCACAAACTTGGCATTGCACACTTCCTTTGTCCATGAACACATCAATACGCGCAATATAAGTGTGCGATTCTGCACTTTAACCCAAAGTTACCCAAATCTTTCATTTCATTCACTTTCAAAGAAACCATAGTATAATCATTTCTTCTCAAGATAAGAGTGCCTTATATAAGCAAATTCTGGTTGTTACATTATTGTAAATCACTAGCAGATTGGTTCATTAACAAAAAAAAAAAAAAAAGTTTTAATATTTTGGCTCTTCAATTTATGTATTAATATGCTATTTACATCAATGGTAAGGTTTCTGATTAACAACAGGCTATTATTAGTTTTTAAGGAATCAAACATACAGATTTGAAAATGAACAGAATATTGGCATTCCTTAGTTAAATAAATAGTAGTAAATATATTCTTTTTTCAATTATTCTCTTCTATATGGTACAGTACTTCTATGATTTACATAAAAAATTCTGAAAAATAACCAATCATATTAAAAAGGATCAAACTTTTATTTTAATGGCATGGTTCACAATGACAACTAACCAAACAATTAATATGAATCTAGCAGGGTGCCCAAAAAATAATAGAATGCAATCAGATTTAACTTCTACACGGTAGTAGTTTTCTCTACTCCTTCCTATTCTACTGCATAGTTAGTATTTAAAACATTTATACTTATTTAATGGATTAAATATCAAAAACAACTGTTATTGTAACTTCACTCAAAATTAATACCATCCCTAAGTCGGTTTTAAAAGTTCTCAACTTAATCAAGCAAAAGTATAAAATCACCTATAATTTTCAAATATATGTTTGAGATGATAAGAAATTCGTCAAAATGATAAATTTTCATTATGTTTCGCAATTTCACTGCGGAAATATTTAAAAAAAAAAAGTTTTTCTTGGACATTTTTCACAATACTCCATACCAGTTCCATACGACAGCACAGACATGGATTTCCAAAGTTTTTATAATCTGTTAAATAACATATGTTTTTATTGAAGTGTTTAAGCATGATATTTGAACACAGAGAACAAGTAAACTTACCACACAACTCCAAAAGCTCCATATCCTATAGGTCTATCAGGCTGAATATCTTGTGTTGTTATAGGAGGATGGTAGAAAGTTTGCGTAGCTGCAAGAATCGCTTGTTGAGAAGTTGCAGCAGTCATACCCGGAAATGCCATAATATTGTGTCGATTTGTTCTTGCTCCAACAACCGCCATAGCCATGGAAAACAAAACAGCTGTAAATCTTTACGGCTTGCGAACAGTTATTTGGAATGCATCAAACTGTTTTCCTGGCTGTTCAATCACAAGCCAGGACATGGTTACTAATAATGAACTCATCAGCTCTAACTTCACAGGCAACTGCCTGTTCAAAGGTTATACAATGGATCTTATTGTAATATCATGTTTGTTACAAGTTCATTTTAGAACCCCGATCTCAATTTTCTATAGAGCCAAGTATGTCGGATAAAGACGACATATTATTCCATCCACATGACCATAAAACCAGCCAATCAGAGACGTGTTTCCTTGTTAACAGATATCTCGATTAGCTGTTGCCACTCTTAAGATAATATTGTTTTCTGAAAAAACTGCCGATTAATTATTTTAAGGCAGCCTTGCCTCAAACGAATAAATATTTTCTAATAATGTAGTTTCTGATCTCTAGATTATAAAGTATGGTCAGTTACAGATCAAAACTTTATTAACAAGCTTAATCAATCCGTAATAATGCAGAATACATATATTAATTTCTATTTTGCAATATTTAGTTAAAATTAATGGAAATGAAGCTAGATATTTATATGCATTGACACCGACATTATAGCCACTGCACCAGTGGCGTAGCTAGGGTGGGGCAAGAGGGAACATCTGTCCTCGGGCGCAGCATCCAAGGGGCGCCAAATTGATGCTACGAAATTTTTTAATGAAATGTTTTCCATTCTTGACACACAAAAAGGGGAGCAAATTCTTCAGTCGTCTACGAGCGCGTGGAAACTAGCTACGCCCCTGCCAATTGAACTAGGTTTCAATGGTCAAACCTTAGGATAGACCGATATTTTAGGTGCACATTGCTACAGCTCTTTCGATAATAACTATAAAAGTCAAGATATTACGTTAAACATGTCAAGGCTTAAATTTAGTCAGAGCTCGGCTTCAGTACTTTTCAGGTTTGAGTGATATCATAATTCAAGTCGAAACCCACAGGTAGGGAAAGCTTTGGCATTATGCTATATTTCACTAATTCTACTTGATTTATCAATTTTTCTTCTCTTTATTTAATTTTCGAAAGGTGGTATAGAATAACCGAAAGATAAATCGAATAGGTTTTTTTTAATAATTTTGTTAGGGTCATATAGGAATACTTGTTAACTTATTAAGAACATGGAGTTCCTGTCTAAATTAGTGCGAGGAGAAAAGTAGAGGAACTGGTGACTGTGACAAGAATGAGGTAGTGCAAAGATAGGCAAATTGAATCCATTAAGAATTACCAAATACAAAACATCAAGTGCCTTAGTATTTGGCTTGTACATGAACTTGGAATAATTATATACATATACCCATAACATACACAAAAGTGAGAATGTAGTGGCCCAGTTATTGCATGAGAAATAATTATTTTTTTATTTCATATATTTGTTCATGTGTTTAATTATTTTATAAAATTAACTTTAATATTTTGTTAATATTCATATTTATATTTCTTTTATTCTGAATGGCAACTAGTTCTAGTTCTGATTCATGATTGCTAGGTTTGGTTTCAAAACGTTGCTCGTAGCGTCACATTTCGATAGCTGGAAAATAAAATGCAATAACTTAGCTATTTGTTTATAATTCATGCTGTTACTAGTCATAAATTAATTTTAAACATTAGTAGCCAAGGCTACAAGAATGCAGACAGAAAATTCGAAGTGTAGCAGAAAAGAGGAATAAAAATATAAACACACATGTCAAATTATTATAGAGTTGCATATTACATGATCCATATATTTAGTTGGGCCATAGGCCTTGTAAAATATTATATTACCTGTCAAGAATTGCAAGATATCTCGGTTAAAAAAAACACTAATTCAAATTACACATAAGATAAATGAACATTACGAATCAGATTTCTAAACTGCCAAGTTTATTCACGTTTAACACACATTCAACTGGCGGTGCCAGATCCAAGAACAAGAAGTATATATACATCATGAAAGACTTACGCCTTCTTTGGCGATTAAAATATATTTCCACATAAAATTTCTTACAGGCCTATCCACAGTATCCAAACTGTTATAGTCGTAGCCACAGATTTTAATACTAGGATTATCAATATTTTGCTGCCTTTCATGAAATTTTTGGCTAAGTTATAATAATGAATTCCACAATAATCCAATGCCTAACTCTTCATATATTCTATTATTCCTTATATACCATTCAGCATTTATCGTAGAACAGTATTTGCAATCTTTTCCTATTAGTTTTCTTGGTATATGCCCAAACTGGACTTGCATAACACAAAAGTGGACGTAGAATGGACTTGATGTGTAACTTGTTGTCAATAGATGAGTAACTTGTTGTCAATAGATAATATACTGTTTCGAGCAATTAAGGGTTATAGTTTGGCTTTACGAACTCGAAACTAGAATAATAAATGAATAATAGATGTAATGTCCGGGGACCATGTAAGTGACTTATTAAGGATCACCCCAAAATAAGGGACTTTCTTGGCCCAGGGAATATCAGTGACATAGAGCTTCAGGTTTTTCTTGAAGTTGGTCTTCTTCATAAACATAATAGCTGTTGTTTTTCCACGTTGACGAGGATCTTCCACTTGGAGAGCCAAGTCTTTAGCTTGTGTATGTAATTATTTAGTCGTTGTATAAACTGGACCTGGAAATGCACTTTGTGCGAGGACCGCGTGTCGTCTGCATACATAGCTAATGCTGTGTCGTATGTGGAAGGTATGTCGTTACGTAAATATTAAAAAGTGTAGGTCCGAGCAAAGATCCTTGCTGGACGCCAGCAATGAGGACATGGCTTGTGGAATTTATGCCAGAGAAGTGAACAACAAAGTGTCTACCTGTTAGGTAGGAATTAATAATGTTTATGTTTTAATTAAGCCCGGGAAGCGTATTTCCAAACCCTACCCCACTTTTCGAATTTTTGACGTCATGGACAAATCGACTAGTTTCGCCTGGATGGTAATTCTTGAGCATGCGCTGAAGGGCGAGAAGTAACATAAACAGAACTTTGGTTTCAACTTGTAAACAGTATTAAGTAATGTCTGAAATTTTGTCTGAAAAATGTCTGTAATTTAAGTCTGAAAGTGCATTCGTTTATGCAATTGTAACATAAACAGACTTTGGTTTCAACTTGTAAACAGTATTAAGTATAGACTAGAAGAGAAACACGCTAATGTGACAATCAAAATCGTAACAAACAACCTTATATTTAGCGTAGGTATAATGAAACACTCAATCGATTTCGAGGGCAGCTAAAGGTCCCTCCTCATCAGGAGAAAGAAATACATAGAAAGAAGAAAATAAGCAATTTCTTTATGCTTGATCAGACAGCCTGGCTCAGTAAAAGTAGGCGGCCAGTGCAACTCTGATTAAAAATCTAGTTATAACCACGTGCAGTGCTGATAAGCACCACGTGTTTCTGTGATTCCTATTTTCTTCTTTCTATGTATTTCTCTTTCTCCTGATGAGGAGGGACCTTTAGCTGCCCTCGAAATCGATTGAGTGTTTCATTATACCTACGCTAAATATAAGGTTGTTTGTTACGATTTTGAGTATTAAGTATATTGTCTGAAAGTGCATTCATTTATGCAATTGCATAATTTTACTGTTTCTGCAATAAAAAAAACTTTATTCAGATAAAATTTACTTTAATATTATTATTATTTTGGTATAGGATTATACGAAATGCTGAATACTCTAGGTACTATCCTAATCTTCGCATAACCATTCCACATTGTATTTTGCCTTATCATTGTAAAATGTATTGTATTATAAAGATTAAAGCAAAGCAAATTACTTTGTTAGAAATGTGAATGTTCTAACTGATTTTTCTTTTTTATCACTTATTATTTATTTCCGCTTTGAAAACACATTCATATTTGACAAATAATTATCTCCGCTGAAAATTTTTTGATTGTTAAAAAAACTATATTTGTCAGTAATGTAATAAAAACTCACTAATCTACTGCTTCATAGATCAATATAACAACGAATTCAAAATGTTTTAAAAACATTTCTTTAATCTTTAGTTTGTAGTAGATGAAACTAATGTCACAGAGAAAAAATATTTCAATAAAAAAGTTCCCCATGTTAATTCAATAGCAAAATTATTTTTATTTCAGTGAGAAATCCACTTTCAATGCTTATATAACAGAAAAATGTAACATAAGCATTTTAGAAGTTTTAAATATAAGCTAAAGGTTTACTGTACAATTTTATGTAAGAAACGTAATAATTTACTTTCATTTATTTTAAATTGGCATATTCCTTTCCAATAGATAACTAAAATTTTTGGCAAGTTAGAGACTTCACTTGAACACACAGTATTCTGTCACTTAAAATATCATTTAATTGTGCTTTTTCATTTAGAAATACATTGGAATTGAAAATAACCAAAGGCAAAATGGGTCACAGATCCAACCTAATTCCTTATTTGGAAATTTTTTCAAAAAATTTTCAGTCAGTTTTATCATGTGTTGTTTTAAACAAGAAATCTATTATATTTTCTTGTAGTAAATTCTGAAAAACATGTTTCTGTTGTTTTTGTTCAATTCTCCTTATTAGCTTAGTTTTAAAAGCTTCAATATTGGTGCACAGTATTAAAATGCTTAGGTTTTTAGAAAATGTCTACTATGTAACTTATTTTTCCTAATTAATCATTATTAATGAATGAACTTGCTGATGTATGTTTCTTTTCCTCCAAAAATATGTAAACTATATTTCTCAAATCGAAAATACGTCTCAGTATTTTTCTATGTGAAAACCAAGTGACTTTGGTAATAATGTCTCATATACAGAACTTATCTCATTACATCTTGCCCATTAATGTAATTAATTGCAGTAATAACATTGCATTTTGTGCAATTTTTTATCAATTTGCAACAAGAGCTTTTCTGTGTGTCATACAGTGATGGAATATTATATGGGGAGCAATTTTCATTATTAATCCTCTTAGTCCTTTATAATTACCTGTTAATGCTGCAGCATCATTAGTACAAACTGCGACACAGTGTCTTTAGGTAAGATTATTCGTTTCAAAATGTCTGTTAATAATTTCAAACATTTTCTCTCCAATTGCTTTTCCTTCCCAAATATTACAACATAAAAAATATTCTACTGCGTCATCTTCAAAATCGTATCTCAGATAAACGATGAATTGAGACATTTTTATAATGTCGGTAGTGTCATCAAGTTTTATAGTAAAGACTGGATTTTGTATTCTATAGTGTCTGATATGACAGAAATTTGGTGAGAAACGGTATCTTTTTTTTAATGCTATCGTTTTTAAATCATT